TTTGTGAGAAGTTACACTACTCTGGAGCAAAAAGATTTTAATTGCTTGACAGGCCAACTTAAGTGCCAAGAAGACCAGGCTGGACTGTAGGCATTCAGACCTTAATCTAGATTCATAGCTCTTTAGATTGGTCTACACAATTTTGCTTATTTTGGTTCCCCTAGGCATCTGTTAAGGGCACAATATTTTGAGAGGGTCCACTGATATAGCTTGCCCTACCCTGAAAAAAAAAACATTTCTGAGCAATTCTGGCCAGTTGGGACTAGTTGGCTAGGGACATTGTGAGAAATTTAAATGGTGGCTAGACCAAGACAGGTTCGAGTGTTTTTACTATTGAAATCACATCAAAGAGACAACCCTGTCAGAGCTGAACTGATAGAGGGCTTTTTTTCTTCTTTTCAGCAGGGCAGTCCATAAATTAAAGAAATTGGCAAGTAGATGGATGATTAGACAGACAGATAGATGCTAGGCAGCAGACAAGTAAAAGAGGGGTACCACAGTAGTTTCAGCAAAGAAGAAAAAGTAAAAAACAACAACCCAGAGTTTCCAAGTTTGTGACTTGAATCATCTAAGGAAATAAGGCTCTGAGGACTGTTTCAAACTAAGTGAATTCAATACTGCACGATCTGATTTTTAAAGTGATCTTGAATCTCTACATTTCCAGAGTGAACTAAATATTCAAGAGAGAACTAAAAATCACACACCTGTCAATGAATACATTAGTTGTCATCATATGAAATGATATTACTACAGTAATTTTAAAAACACATCTTAGCCAGTCCATAATAGGGCTCTATTTCAAAATACACAGTCCTCAAGGTACAAACCCTTGTTCAGAAAATGTGCCCTTGTTCAGAAAATTTCACCTCACTTTCTGTCCTTTTGATAACTGAATTTTGAAAAAAAATTGGCATATTGTGGAAACAAGGATTGGTGATAAAGCTTCAGTGGAGACACATTTTCCCCAATATAACTCTTCCAGGAGTGAATTTCTCTGCCTAGGGGCAGATTTCTCTCACTTCCAGTTGTCTCACCCCCATTCTTAACTATGGGTTGTTTGTAAGTCAGATGTTTTTAACTTGAGGACTCTTGTACTGTATGTTAAAGACAAAACATCTATTGGGAGTGAGAGAGAGCTTCACTCAGTTTTGCAGTTGACAAAAAAAGGGGAATCACGTTTTGTTATAAATATTGAGTATCGTAAAATTCTCTTGTCTATTGAGAGCTTACTGTTTAAGAACAAATACAAACCTCTGGTGAACTTAAGGAGCTCATAATGTTTTATTGCTTAGAGCTACCAACCGGCTAAATTGTGATTGCTTCCATTTAGAACACGTTGCCCTGGGAAACCTAAAGTAATTAAAGTAAGGCTGGAGAAGTAATAACGCAGAAAGAGAAGGGAAAGAAAATAATACGTGAAGGAAAGAGAACATTAACGGAAAAGCATGACAACAAGTTCTTGTATTATATCTTTATCTTGCATTGGGAAGTTGTGAAACAAACTGTTGAAGGAAGGAAGGAAGGAAGGAAGTCCTACTTGTAAAATGTACAGAGATATAATATATGTAAAGCTAGAAGGAAGAACAGCTTCTTCTTTTTTTAACTTATAAAGCAAAAAGTAAAGTCATATTTCATTAGAAAGGAACAACTCCTATCTCCATCTCATAGTATTGAATCAACTACAGATCCTGGCTTCTTGTTTTAAAAATGAATGACACAAATTAAATTCTATAATAAGCACTGAACAAATTGGAAAGTCTTCATATTGCAGTTACTGAGTTTTTATGAGATGTCATGCCCATAGTTAAATCATGATAGCTACGGCAGCCTAGGTACAGTGATAATGTGCTGGAATAAAGAAAAGATCAAAGATTATGACGGAATGGATCCGGATCAATAGATAGTCTACATTATTACCTACATATATTTAACATCACTTCTGTGTTTGCACAGTGTGAGCCTATTTGTTATTAGAGGTATATTCAGGTGATGTTGGGATTTTCATGCTTGCAGTGCAGAGAAGTAATCCAAGCTAAGGAACAGCTGCAACGGTACATCCATAATTCAAAAGCATTTCAACATAATAGACCATCAACTCGTGATTTATTGATGTTTTTCTGTGGCACTGTATTTCTGTTGTCAGGTGGACTGAATAGTGACTGAAGCAGCATCAATTGTCAGTCTGCACAACTCTAACAAAAGGACAACAATAACAGGCCATTTTCGAAGCAATTTGAGTCAAAAGATATAGGGATCCAATAAAACATGAATTCACAAGACCAATAGAATGGACATCTAAAACATCTCTTCTTTTGGGGCAGAAAGTCTCTTCTCAGGTTGAGTTGAACATATTCTGAAATCACAGCATTTAATGGAGCCTAACTTTGGCTGGTTTATACCTTATATTTTGGCTTGTCTTCCACATATATAGTACTGATACACAGCCCAATAGAACCCTCTTTTTATCTTTTTAAATGTCTGTTCCTGGCTTTATTTGGGGTATTGGAAATAGCATTAAACAGACTGCATCAGCTCTAGTTTCCTAGATATATTATCATGATTTCCTGTAGGCTAGCAGATAAAGACTGGTATATGGCATATGTTCTGTATCTCAAAAACTAGAGCTAATAGGGGGAAATGGGTGCCATTTTTGGAATCAGCAGGTCAAATATATCCAGAAACAAGTCTAACGTTTGAGGCACCAAAATGTGTGTTCGCCAGTGATATTTAATGACCAAGCTTCTGGTCCAGAACAAGAGCAATGCAAAGCACAATGCTATTTTTGCCTATTGGGCTGTAGCACTTACAATTCCTTTATTTCACGATCCTTCCATTTTCCACAAATGGATTGAGCAGCACTACATGAATTCCAAGGGTGCTGCTCATGTCCCATTAGATGTGTTGTTATCACCATTGACAAAAGAAACATTGTTTTAAACATGGTGTTAAACAATTCACTGAAGAGGAATGCGTATTTTGCAACTGGAGGTCATAATTAGAGCAACACAACTGGTAGCAAATTATTCATGAGCATATTTTTCAAACCCGCTCTCATTTTTCATTTTGCCATAACTGTTGCTGTTGCCATCTGCTTATTGCCAGCCATGCAAAAGATATCCTCCTTAAGCCTGTATAGTTAAATAGATGACTAATTTCCACACAGCTACCTCATTCACATGCAGATAGAGGCATTTAGCTGAATGATCATATCCCCTGGGCTGGAGAATTCAATAAAGAAAGTCTTTTCCACAGTGGGAAGTAATATCATGCTGTAATCTCATATACACTTACCTTTGAGTATGCTCCATGAATTTCCATGGGGTTTACTTCTAAGCATGCATAGGATTAAGCTGAGGAGGGCAAGTTTGGACAAAACAGGGGCAGACTATCTTTACACATCAGCAGTAGCAGTCAGTCCAAGGGTACATCTACACTATAGCATTAATGTAGGTTGACAGCCCACTTTATCTGGCATAGCGCAATGTTATGGAATATTGGGATTTGTAGTTTGGTGAGGCACAATCACTCTTTGGCAAAGAAAGCAAAATACTTTGTAAAACTACAACTCCATACAATTCCATATCACTGAGCTATGGCACTTAAAATGGTGTCAAACTGCATTAATTCTACAGTGCAGATGAACACCAAGGCCCTATCTACATTGCCATATAATGCAGATTGAACTGCATTGAACTGGATTATATGAGTCTACACTGCCATATAATGCACTTCAATGCAGTTAATATGTATTCTGAAACTGGATTATATGGCAATGTAGATGTGGCCCAAGTTACAATGATTTCTTGGTGTTTTACACTGCTCCCTGCCCATAGCTCCTTTAAAGGAGACTGTATGGTCATCTGTTGGGAGTGCTTTGATTGTATATTACTGCACGGCCCTTGTGTTCTCTTCCAACTCCTTAATTTTATGAGTTCATAGTTTGAGAGGTAGCTCACTCTGCTATTTGGGGGAGAGGACCACATGATTCAACTACAATTAGACCTAGCAGGAGGTAAAGTTCTTGGGAGTTAAGTGACAGATAAGTTTGCTGCAGTCCCATCTAGTTTGGCTCCTAGATATATTGTGCTCTACATTTTTACCCTTTAGAAATTTAACAGTTTTGTTTGATGAGGCTCATAGAATGCAATGACTGAATTATCTTTTGAGAGCTTTGTGGGGAGGTAATTTCTCCAGTGTATGACAATAATCTAGAAATGACTAAAGGCACAGATAAAATAATGTTATTAAAACATAATATCTATAATAATAATAATAACAACAACAACAACAACACTTTATTTAAAACCCATCCTCTCTCCACGAAAGGAAAAAGGGTAGTTTCCAAAATATAACAGAAATGGCAAACATTCAATACCAAGAACAAACAAACAGCTAACAAGGCAAAACAGAAGAAAATAAACTCAATGTAACTTATAAACAACCAAAATTAACCAAGGATACACTAAATAAACATAATATAACATAAGGAGTCAAACTAATTAAAACATAATGCATTAAAAGCATAATATAATGTGTGTAGAGTATGCTAATTCTCCTCCTCCAAAAGAATTCAGGTTGAATATCCCTTATCCAAAATGCTTGGGACCAGAAGTATTTTAAATTTCTGACTTTCTTTTCTCAGATTCTAGTATACCTGTATTAGCATAAACATACATAATGGGATAAATGGGACCGAACTTGTTTATGCTTCACATACACCTTATATACATGATCTGAAGGTCAATTTTTACAACATTTTAAATAATTTTATGCATGAAACAAATTCTGTGTATAATAAATCATTAGAATGCAAATATGTCACTATCTCATCCACCCATGTGGCTAATTTTGGAGTATTTAGTTTTGGATTTTCAGATAAGGTATGCTCAGCCTGCATTTATATTGAAGGGTTTATTTAAAAAGAGCAGTAAATAATATTTTTATATTGTTGGGATACTTTCCCAAACCTTTGTAGATCTACTATTTGTATGATTACCTACCTCCTGATACACATTCTGGTGTCAAAGAAATGTCATCGAGTGCAAATTCTAGAAGCAAATGAGCTCCGGTCTCTGCTTCAAATGCCACTTTGAAAGGAGTGTTGCTGGAAAGGGCCACATTTGCATAGGTCCATACATTTCTTTTATTACCTGTTGCTGCCCACATCAAAATATCCATTCCAAATTTTTCAACAACATAGACCTGTTGAAAGCAAAACCCAGAGAATACTTCACAATTGTTTCTTCAATCTTGTTACATCACAGCACAACACTGAAACATTTGGCCAACCTTCCTTAAAGCAGGGAAGTATTGAACATCTGCACTATAGATCAAATTGTGTCAGTTTTGAAGATAACTCTAGAATCATAGAATTGTAAGAGGCCTTGAGGGCCATCCAGTCCAACACCCTGCCAAGATGTAGGAAAATCACATTCAAAGCACCAAAGCATTATTATAAATTAATAACAATTGATAACAATAATTGTAGTCCAATTACTAGCGACAACTAGAGCAGTGCCAACCAGAGTGCCACCAAATAAACTGCTGAAAGACAAAAACACTAGGATGCATATTTTAAAATTGGGAAAATATCTGATCATCCAAGGCAATGGATTAGGTTCAGCATCAAGTTGGCATCCTAGGACAACACTATTGCACTATTGCTGATAATACCAGGTAACTATGCCTAAGAAAGTGCATCATAAGAAGCTCCACATACTCTCATGTGGAGTGGGACCTAGATTATTATTATTATTATTATCAACATCATCATCTATACCCTGCCTTTCTCCCTGTGGGGACTCAAGGAGGCTAACACTCCACACTAAACAAGTTTAAAAGTTGCAATACAAAAGTTTTTTAAAAAACCCAATTAAATAACAGTGTGATAAAGACAGAATTAAAATACAGTAAATAAATACACTAAAATGGCCTTTAAAATCCACCTTCCAATCCCACCCAATCTCCCCAAGGCCCACCCCTTCCCCTTCCCCAAATGCCTGTAGTCATAAATAGGTCTTGACTTGCTTGTGGGAGGCCAGCAGGGATGGGGACATTCTGGTCTCCATAGTCTGGGAGCAGTTACCTGAAAGGCCCTCTCCCGTGTTCCCACCAAGCCTGCTTGAACAAGTAGTGGAACTGAGAGAAGGTCCTCTCCAGTAGATTGTAGATGTCTTCCAGGTTCATAGAAAGAGATACAGTTCTTTAGATAACTTGGGCCAGAGCCATATAGGGCTTTTTGGGTCAAAACCAGCACTTTGAATTGTGCTCAGACGAGTGATGGCAGAACATGTCTATACATGTGATATAATACCAGGGGAGAAGCAAGGCCTTTATTAAACTCCTCAGGAGAGAGTTAATAAACATGACAAATGTTTATTAGTAAACCAAAGCAGTCCATTTTTTCAGCTCAGTGCTCTTTTCAGGCCACTTGTTCTATCTTCCTATCTCCACTAAAATTGTCACAGGTAAAAAGTCTGCCTTACAGAAGCAAAAATAGATTTGTTAAGCAACACCATACAACACAATAATATTGCTCCCCAAACAAGGGAAAGATACAAAAATTGCCTGACTAACCTGTTCATCTCTTCTCAAAAATGAACTGAAGATTGTTTTTTTTTATTAAAAAAAATAGCCATTTAAAATGAAATTGCTCTGTCTTTGCTGTAATTTATTATACTCCAGTTCACAGCAATTTATGTAATATGAACTGCCTAACAAGCTGGAAAAATGAAATGTTGGACATATATTATCACAGGGGGAATTAATTTTGGTTTAACTTCCAGTATTATGGCAATATGTTCAGGAAGCACTGCAGTGAAGGGATGCTGAACTGTGAAGTTACAATTACTCTTTGTCTCATTGTAGGTAGTAAAGCAACATGGGGGGGGGGGAGCAAACTTCTGAAACCCCCGAAAAGTTAACAAAGAAGTAAAACAATCCACAAGAGTGTTTCACATTTAACAGGCCTACATCTTGAATCTTACACAAACAGGTGGATGAAGAACTGGAAAAAGCCGACTTTTTGCACTGAAAGAAGATAGATTTTGATGGTCTTCAGCTCATTTTAAACAGACAGTTCCTAATTATACTCATCAAAGGCATTATGCAGTTATTCTCTCTTTATTTCTTCTAATAAGTGCAGAATATGGAAAATGGAAGAAAAGGTAGAAGAATGCAGCCGAGTTGAAAGATGGGATGCTGGCAATTGTCAGGAGAACTGTAAAAATGTGCAAAATTTTATCTGTTCATTGTATGTATTTGGGTTATGTATGTATAAGTAAGTTTGTATCTTTAATTGCTGAAATGCTTGTGATGTGGTTTTGGTTAATTGGGTGCAGGTGGATCTAATTACTGTGGTTATAATGTGTTGCATCTGCCTGCAGCCAGCAGCAGCCTTCAGCAGCTTTCAGCGTCCCTCAGCGTTCTGCTATTGTTATAGCCTTGAGCTTTTGGAGAAGCTATGGCGTTTTTGGAGTTTGGGACTCTAAATGTTTTGTTTAGGGTCTGATATCTGATGCAAGATGTTTGTTTTCTTACTTTTGATGTTTTCCACTATGAATTTATAATAAAGAAAGACTCTGCTAACAGGTTATGGGCCCAGAACGCTGCATAATGCGCATGTCTGAGGTAAATATGTGGTGA